CTCTTGTGCTTGTTGGACCCCACCATTATCCTGGGATGTTGGTTAGGAAAATAGTCAATAGCCGTGGTGGTGGTGGCTGTGCTTTGCGTGTGACGAGTATTAATTAGGAAATGCCCATTTACCGAGATGAAGGGTTCTATTCATCATCAAGTCTTAGGGGCTCAATTTTCTTTTCACTTCTTGGCACCGTGCATGCCGTGGTGACGGAGTGGTGGCGATGGGAGAGAAACTCTCTTCCAATAAGACCACTGATTCATCACGCTTTTCTGCACAAACAGAACATTATTATATGCACGCAACACAACAATGCGAGAACAATCGCTTCCCCCATAAATAGAATTCTCCAACTAATCCACGTTTCAGGAACCGCGGAGAGAATAATGGAAAACTTGCTGGGCTTCTTTAATCTTAAAAGTAATTGAAATTTGGGTGGAGAGTGAGTCAAAGAAAATTTATTGCTCTCAATTGCCAATGAAAGGACAAAGAAGGACTCGTTTGGCATTACACACTGCGTTTGTTTCAGCCAAATTCGCAAATCAGCCTGATTAACGAGATCAGTGGGAGCAGAACAGGTATTTATTTATTGTCCCGAACCTCCTCGGAGTGAAATTGGTTCATTGTTCGTCGCCTTGTTTGGAGAAAGCCGATCCGACGTTGTGTCAACGGCGGCATAATAAAACTATTTTCATTCTGGGCAAGATGATGATGGGTGAAAAGTTGCAGATTTAGCGGTGGACGAGCACGGAGAAAGTGGAGGAAGAAAAGTGTGTGTCTGGCTGTGCTCTTATTGGGTGACATGGTCTTTAGAAATTTGGATCGAGTTACATTCTTTGATGGATTGTGTGTCAGGCTGTAACTCGGTTTTGCTCTCCAACACCTATGCGAAAGCCATTTGGCCAACAGCCATCTATTCAAAGTTCTCCTCCAGCTCCAACCTTCAAACCACACGAATTCACCTCGCCATGTCGCTACGCAAAATTCGCCCAGGTTCCCAGCTTTAGGTCAGACTCACCGTCAACTAGGCAAGCCAATGAACCAGCGCAAACCGTCTGGAAACTAACTCCACACGGAGTCACGCCACAGAGTTGGGTCACTTCATACTCATTCAGCGTAGGAAATCATTTCTTGGTGGCAAGAATGGCACGGGAAAGAGGAAATATTACTCATTGGGTAAGTCATAAAAAATCAATGGACTCAACCCCGCCTTATTAAACATGGATTGAACTAATTCCAAAGTCGCTTCAGTCAATGAACCACCGATTTGTCTATAATTCAACACTTTAATCGTCTTTGATACGTAATCTGCTCCGAATGCCGAATTAATTTTGTAATGTGGCGTGTCATCTCTCATCGATCGGGCATTTTTGCAATGTTTTCTCAACAGACACTGAAAAACTAGAAACTAGTTTACCTAAACGAATACTCGCTTTAGAATTTCTCTTATAACCGTTGGCCAAATCTGGATTCGGAGAAAACCCGTGGCTTGTAATCCTTTTATTAAAATGCTTGTTGAAGCCAAATTGAGTAGACTTGTAGAAGTGGAAGAATAAAGCTCTCGAGCCGAGGATTTGATGAGCGTCAAGTGTTAGAGGCTTGTGAAAATTACATAATTTGCAATACCCCACACGGATCAGAGACGTACGAATGATTCAATAATTTGCTTCTGTTGACTGGGCCAGTGAGGAGCGGAATTGGTTTGCAGAGCATACGGCCATCGGCAAATATCCAAAACTAAATCCACCAACCACAAATATACTCATTCAGCAGATACTTGAGTTCGTCCTCCTCTTTCGTAAACTGTTATTGTGGAAATTGTGCAAGGCAATCCTCATTCTCTATTCAGCACAACAACAGCATCCTCCCTTTCCTCGGATGCTCCTCACCCTGTAAATTCTCATAAATAAATGCTCCCTAAATAATGCATATACAGCACATCTCAAATACATTTTTAATCAAGCGCATGCTTTATTGAAGCGTCAAGGCTAAAAATAAATTTCTTCCCTTGAAAATAATACGCCATTCTCAATTCATTTTATCTGTACGTGCACTAAACCAAAGTCCGTCCGGTGGTACATATCCGAGCACGTCCTTTGCTCACTTATATAGCGGAATAAAGCCTCTCCCTCATCCGGCACATTTTCCCTTTGCCAAGGAGCAGAGCATTTTTATTTTCATCATGATTTCCTCCAACTCGGCTTTTATGCAGCCTTAAAACCTTAAACTATTCCGTCCTTGCCTTTATCATGTGTCCTCTGAAGAAGCCAAATAAAGCTGGGAGGAAACAACGGCCGCCACATTTATCGTCCATCTTTGTCATGTTGTCAACCAAGTCAAAAAGTTGGAGTGAAATGAGAAAAGTTTTGCTTGCTTTGAATGAAATGCATACACGCATAATTTCGAGAATTGAGCTCAGCCTCGTAATAACATAAACATTGAATTTAACATGAATGAAAGTAAACTGAATGTTTGCTTTTATCGGTTACACTTGGAATATATAGCATATCGTGTGGCGAACAATAATGAAAAATATACGTGTGCATTGCTACATTTTTTATTATTTTTTGCCAGATAATTTTTGCTGCTCGTGAAGTACGTGACTACATTCTTAGTGGCTCATCATCTAATTTAGAAAATAAAGGACGAGGTGCTCTTGATAAAAACCAGGCCAAATGTAACACAAAATCATTTCCCATATTTCGCAGGAGAAGATGAGACAGAGTGAGAAAAGTAGTTGGCGGTGGGTATCCACCACCATCGTGCGTTAGGATCGTATGCGCGATCCATTTTCTCACTCTGTTTCTCTCTCTCTGTACTCATTAGTGGCCAGAGTTTGTTATGGCTCTTGCTGTATATGCCCCTCCCTCAGAAACTTTGACCCCAAAAAAAGTCATGGTAGCGGTCATTTCGCAGCGGACAACAAAAGCGGAAAATGTGGCACTTCTGACGAAGAAAAATCTGGCATCAGGTTGTCAGCCGCAAAATGACCGCTAAGGTCACTTTTTTAACGATTTATATGTAGGTCGAAAAACCGCCAATTTTCGAATTTTGAAAGTCTTGATGCATCAAAATGTTCATACTCATGAGGGAAGTCAAATGTCAAATGCAAGTTGGTATCTACTTCTTTCTGTACCGAGTGTACATTGACCTTCTCATTTTTCCCAATTTTCTTCCCCAATTTTTGAAGGGGGTGTGGTTGAATATAATTCAAAAAAGCTATGCTATATTAATCTCCCCACCCAAAACTGAATTTGTAATTTTTTATGTGCAATTTGGTGAAATCGATGCGAAAAAGACTTGCACTTTTGGCTCATTTTGTACCTCTTCAATCATCCAGAAATATCTATTTACGTTGAAATTACTATCAGGCAACGGGACACGCACACTTTTTTATTTTTTTCTTTGAGGCAGGCGATGATGATGAAGTAAAAAGGTGCATTGTACGGGACCAACGCTTCAAAACCTAAAGAGCTTTCACTTGAGCTCTGGATTACTTCTGAGAGGCGTCTGAATGACGGGAAAAGTAGCAACAAACACACTCAACAAGAAAATAATAACGATAACGACCACTGTCAAGGTTCATTTTCTAGGATGCTCAAAACTTAAAAAAGTTTTCTTTATGACGGTGAAAGAAAAGGGGAAAAGCTGTTCAAAAAAGATGGTGAGTGAAAGTTCAAGAGTTTTCCCTTTTCCAACCTTTTCTGCTTTATCCTGCTGCCAACAGACTTTCCCCGTCGGGAAGATGGATGAAACATTGGTAAAGTGGATTTGGATAAGGGGAATTACGAATATAATGCAGTCGCTAGATTAATATTTGCTCAATTGGGGAGCATTATTGCGAGGTGGCGACGCCAAGGAGCACGGATCAGTGTGGATCAAGCGGATTATGCAGGTTTTAACAGTTTCAATAGAGCACGACTAAATCATCCCATCGAGTTGGGCATTGTTTAAACAAGGATTTTCCCTCTTCATTTACCTATTGTTTGCAGTAAGAGACCACAAAAGTACAACATGGGTGAGGAAGTGACCTACATAATTCCCATCTAAAATTTACCTGTTGGCGGAATCTGAACACATGCACACGCCGTCGATTCCTACCACGATCACCTCAAATTTTGACCCGAGTCCTCTAATCTGCTTTCCCCCAATTTTCCCAATTTTGGGATTGACGGGAGGAAAGTATTCGAGAAGAAATTGGCTGCGTATGACTTGTTAAAAACATTTAAAGGAGGCGAGATTAAGGCTGAAATGACGTGGCAAAAAAGAAATAAACTCTCTCGAGCATGGAAATTCTAGTTTTTCATGTTAAAAACTTTTCCTCTCTCTCTGGCTTTTGGCGTTCCCGATCTGGTTGCTAATTAGATGGCCAACGGGGGTTGTAAACTTTGAAACAAGTTTTAATTAGTTTCTTCTCCTTTCGAGTACTAGTGGGCTCCATCGGCACTTTTGATTGAGCGGAGCGGAGCTAAAATTTTGAAGTGTGGATGATGTGGATTTCGTGGAGAAGAGATCTGTTCGAGATCAAAACCACGACTTTCTCTCATGCGCCAACCTTACCCACGCTGAATTTGTGCACATGCATGTAAAACTTTTAAATTCTGGACGAAACTTCAAATGTGATCTCGTCAATGTCTGCACTAATGTAATACGAGTTTGCATTTCGAGTCCATTCTATGCCCACGTCAAAAGTGGCGAGCGTCAGATTACACTAATTTTACATCACTTGTCAATAGCAGTGAGCGAGATGAAGTTGCCTCTGGTAAAGAAAGGTATCCTTCTGCCTTGGTAACAGATATCCGATTCAATATAAGCGGATATACTGCTGTACTCTTGCACGTATGCCGTTTTTTTGCCAAGCCACCTCAGCAGGAGAACAAGAAAGAGAAGGAAACCTGAGAAAGCCTCTGCTCAGATTCTAAAATGCATTGTTGTAGGCTTTTGATGAAATGAAGTTTCACTGTTACATTGTTTTTACTTTTTGAAGGAAAATTTCATCTGCTTACCGGTTATTCCGAGGAGGAACAAAGCCGCGACTAAGGGCATAGCTACAAATTCCCTCATTGTCGATCACTTTCCGCAATGTCCACCAATTTCTCGGAACTGGATTCCAGACTTTCTCTCCTTCTTCCTTCCTCAAATTCTTTCACTTTCTCCGAATGGAGGATAGTTGTCCACCGCAGCTCTCAAGTTGGTAATACGGTCTTTGTGGTTTTCTTCCCTCTGTTGAGATTGAAAATCGAGCGGATGTTCAGTCTAACGAACACCTTTATATGTACTCTCTCTCTCTCTCTCCTCCTGTATTTTAGGTGATGCACTTCTTCCTGGGAAGAAAGTGGGGAACAAAGTCTTGATTTTACTCACTGGCGACTTTATTATTTGCACTTCACTTACTCCAGTTTTGAGATATGAGCAAAATTTACCACCGCTGCTGCTGGCACGACCAAAATGTTTGGGTGGAAGAAAACCTGCCGCCGTATGCTGGGCTGCCTGTTATGTTATTTTTTGTATTCCCTTCCTTGTGTCTGCATTTGACTGATGTGATTTTGAGTCGGTTGTGTAGTAGTCTATTGAGAAGAAGCGTACGCAGTCAAAAAGTGGAGTCAAAGTGCCGGAGGTTGGGAATTCTTTTCGAACTGCACAGAGTCCAATAATAAGTTCAACTCTGACTGTGTTGGTTGGTTGGTTGGATGTTCAGCCAAACGAGGAACAGAAAAGGTCCAATTTCCTCAATATGTTTATCCCTCTTGCCATCCTGGATCCGGATGTCAAGACTTTATTCTTTCTCTTTTCGGACTGATTGAAGACCTTTAAAAAGGCTTTTTCTGCTCGGGGGAAGGAGTAATCCGTCTTCCTTCTTCAAGGGCAAGGACTGCGCTAGACCTGCACCAAAAAATAACAACTTCTTATTAGACAACACTATTCAATTTACTGCAGCCTTATTAAAATTGTGAAAGCTATTCCTCGAAATATCGCTCCATTTCCTAATTTGATTTGCAAATAAATACGCTCGAATGACACGAAATTAATGAGGTCCTTTAGACTGGAATATCATAAAGTATTTATTTACGTAAGTTCATATTTTAGCATGGGAACAAACGCGACTAACAAGTTGGAGAAAGTTGCTCCACTGGTGGAGCAAGACGGAAACGCAACAACAGACCTCGTCAGCTCAATGTATTCATACGCAAGTTAAGTTCGAATGCCGTGTTTGTGCAATAAATCTTTCTGCTTTTGTACCACCCATTTACGTTTATACGTAACAAACTAAATTAATTCTTTGGGTGAAAAAATCGGTTAATTAAATTGGCTTCAACTTGTTTACTTCGTGTCAGGTTCGAGACGCGGAAAATAATAATTTGGTATTATTTTTCAGAAATCATTAATGTACGCGAGATGCTCTTGTGTATTTTTGTACGTAAGCACTCGCAGTTGGGGAACAAAGAGAGTGAAACTAAGCTTCCGTTGCTCGAGGGAAATGAACTTAGGAGGAGAAACAGTAATGAAGGATTATGCTGTCTTTCTCCTCCTTGGAATAACACAAAGATTTATTCCCAACAAAAAAAATAGTCGCGGGCTCAACTTATTCTCTCAAACGTCGTGTTATGACGAGAAATGGGCGACATTTTCCTTTGTCTCGCTATTGTGCGAGGCTAACTAAATAGTTGTTACAGGTATGTCAGGAGGCATTGTCGTCAAACGTGCTCCTATTAATCTGGAACACGAGGCGGATGATGAAAACTATTGAGCGACACATAATGAAGAGGAGGCATTAAGTAATTTACATTAACCGGGCACCTCCTCCACTTTGTCATCCGCGGAGAGTGTAACAAGTACAAGGAGGCCGTGGTGACTACAAGGGAGAAAGTTTCCATGCAGTATCGTACTCCTCGCAACCTTACGTTTTTTTCTTCCTTGTCACATCATGCTTCGTAATTTGAGATAAAAACGGAAGAGGTTTTTAACGAGCCATATCTTGAACAGTCTCATTCTTCTTCTATTATCTTACATCAAGTCGTCACGGGCCAGGAATTATTGATCGTCCCCTTCTCTTGCTAATCTAATAAACCAAAGCAGGCTACACTCTCATCAAACGGGGCTTGAAGGATTCCAAGAATATCAAATGGCAAAGTTGTGCACTGCTTATATCCATCTCTCCGAGTGAGAAAGAGAGGGGGAAAAGATGGACGACCCAAAAGTTGAGAAAGTGTAGCCTTGAAGACTTTCTCCCTCGGTTTGATATTGTTGATTCCGCGAGTGAGGCTTGAGCTCCCTTTCTCCGTTCACAGAGGAAGAAGACGAAGAATAATAAGAACGAGGGAGAAAGTGCTGAGCGAAAAAAGTGGCAGAAACAACCTACTGACCGACTTTTCAGACTTTTGTTCATTGTTATGGTTAATACGGGCATTAGAAGTGTTGGCAGGTGCAGATCATGTCGAGGTTCGAGAGTTCATCGACGAATGCAGGAGTACGTGTACTACGTCGTCCGATATATTTATATATGGTATTGGGTCATAAAGTAAAATGTGTCTTGGCTTCATTTCACTCGAGGTTCCGACGTGGGGGAGATCTTGATCATACTGACGTCGCCCGTATACCTACTACTTTCGAAGAAGGATATATGTAGGCAGGCAGTGGTGGAAATCGAAATAATATGTATTTCGATCCCATCGCAGCACACGAGAGGGTTGAGCAGAGGAGAATTCAAGTGGGAGAAATGATTTCGAGATATATTTTGCCCAATGAAGGGGAAGTCGGGTGGGATGCACTTAAGTCATGCTTTTTGACATACGGTGACAGCCAGGATCCTCCCAGTGCAGAGGGAGAGAAATTTGATATTGCGACCTCGTCTTGGAGAGAAATAAATAAGATGTGTCTCCAGATTCCGGAGTGGCAGCAGGTCCAGAGTGCGAGTAATACGCGAGAATTGTACCATTGTCCTCACGACACAATGAAACGTATTGAAAGCATTGTGTCGAAACTTGGGTGTGGTGGTCGTCGTCGTCCTCTCCTGCAAACGAAGGACTACTGATTGCGAATTGTAAATAGAATCAACAACATCACCCGACATGCACGCTCGTCACACGCGAAACATAACTTCAGGGAGCACGTGTGCATAAAAAATAATTTTCTTGACAAAAGTCGTTGATACAAATTTATAAATATTTACTTATCCGTGTAAATGCTTTCTCTGTAGTACTATTTGGAACTATGGATTTCGAAGTCTGGCTTATCAGGAATGGTTTTCATTTCACGATCTGTGTGGAGAACTCTGCGAGATTGCGAGGGTGACAAAAAAGTAAGTGCCGAGGTGACAGGAGGATGGGTGTTCTGCTACAATTTTATTTTGCTTCCTCATGTCCCATTCTTTGATCACGTTCATGGAAAAAATAGCCCAGTCAAAGCCACCAGTCGCGTTGAGCAAGAATCACTCGTTCCTAAGTTTCTCTTAAGATTAGTTGGTATGCTGCTCCACAAATACGTCTCCATTACTCCACACACACAGCACGTACTGTTGCGTTGCAGCACAACAAATATCCAACACCTACTCGTGACCCACTCTCCATTGTGGGGAGGCTCCCATTAACATTTTATGCCATCTTCAAATGCGAAATATAAAATAAATTGAATGGCTTTCCTCCCATGAAAGGGGAGAAGTATATTTGCACAACTGTATCAATAGCAGCACCAGAATTTTTCTCTCTTCGAAATCCTACGGACACAGGTCCGAATTAAACTTCAAAGTTTTTTCTTACAGTTATCTCGATTACAGAAAGTTGGAATTTTCTATTTATTCTGTTGATTTCTGCAGAAACTTCCACCTTTTGTCTGAAGAAAGTTTGGAGCGAAAAAGTGACACAATGTAGTCTTTTCAAAAGTTGAGATTGAAACTTTTAGAAAAATTCATTGGCGGATACGTACATTTCTTATTTATGTCATACGTACCTTATACGAGTATAGTTTGTATAACTTGTGCGTGGTTTGTGCAGAGAATTGATTTGTCATATCGAAAGTGAAAGTCTACATTACCAATGTGTGTGTATTTTGAGTATAGCAAAGTAAGATTAGCACGTGCATGAGTGGGCAGTTGATTCTGTTAGAGGCGAGATTTTTTGTATTGTCATATAGATTCTAGCAGTACACAAAAAATACACGGCTTGTTTCGTTGATGGTAGATGCGTACGTATACATGTGCCAGGGCAATAAGCAGCACTTTTGCTTCCTGCAGCAACCCTGACAAAAAATGGTGACGGATCCCGTTGCGAGTGCTTTCTCCTCTCTCGCACACACACAGAGTTGGCCATTGTCATAAGAATCAGGTACGAGGAAAAGGGTGGCTGCTGTGTCATCTTCTCTTTTGGGTTGCTTTCTCCACCGCTATTTTTGTCCTTGTTCACGTTCACTTCACCCAGACGAGGACCGAGTATGAAAGTGTCGGGACTGCGATAAAATAACGGATGTGCTCCACCAAGACAAAGCGCCAAGTGGTTTGCAGTGATACATGAAAATGGAAAACACAATTGCCTCTCTCCTCCTACGTCCAATCCTGATGAGAGTGGTTTCACAACAACAAGGTTATTGCTACCTTTCTCATATTTTTCTCCCTTCACTCCTCGCAAGTGACTCTGCGATCCCAAATTAGTCGGGAACGTCGCCTAGTTTAGAATTCCGAACGTTCCGACAACAAACGTGGAGTAAGAGATGGGAATTGGCAAGGGTGTCAACCACCCAGAGATGTATCTACCCATCCACTGCTGGAGAAAGTTTTGGTCCGCCGAGCACATATCAGCCCAACACATCCGACAACCAACAGCCCTTCTCCACTGGAGCGGATGGAAGTGCAGCAGTGTGAATGTCACGTTGTGCTCCGAAATTGAACTGATACTGTCACCCGTGAGGCTTGCATACTTTCACTTACACATTTGTACATACGTGGACAATGCCCCACGATAACTCTGGCGGGGAGACACACATCCGTCCTGACAGCCAGCCAAACGTCAATGATGGTCGATGGCTGGCTCGATTTTTGGACCCTCCACTAATTTCGTACGTTACGAAACTGAATTATTACCAAAGAAAATATATTTTCGCCATGAAGAGAGAAAGGGAGACATTTTGCTTTCCTCTATTTTCAGGAACAAAACTAGGGCTATGTTTTTGTGTATATTTTTGTGCATTCTCATCCCCAAGCAATTCCTGCTTCTTGTCATAAACCTAACTTTATGAGATTTTTTTGCAACTCGGTTAACTCATTTGGCTCGGAAACGCTGACACAACGACACCACACCAGCGTAATAAGTAAAACTCTGCGTTTCCTCACGACAGCAAATATTAAGTGAAGCGTATGGTGGGTGACGAGATGGTGGAGAAGGAGAGCAAACTGTGTCGTCTTTATTGACCAAATCTGTAGCAGAGTGTGGATTTGGAGGAGTCTGGACGAGTTTTTGAGGTTAGTACGTATTACTAATAATGGAGGACGCAGCTCGACAAAAGATGAGAATTGTCCTCGTCATGTCATGTCAAAGTCAACTCGAGTCAGGAGTCATCACCGAAGAAAATGTCAAACAAAGCACCTACGCATTTATTTACCATGGAAGACGATGAAGAGTAGCAAACCGAGGACTTTCAGGGACGCCAAACACTATTACACTGAAACCCTCCACTCATTCACCAAGAGCAGAAGTGAGTTGGTTAGTGGATGGAATTATGTAACACTTATGTATCAAGATGTATTGTGAAATTTTAGTCATTTCTAAAAACAGAAAGTCATATTTTACACGGAGTTTGGTAACGTGTCACGTCATGATATGTTGCGTACACATGACATGTTATGTGAACAACCCAATTTTAAACAAAGGCTAAACAAAGGCCATCAAGTGAGATTGACTGGATGCATTCTCCTCTCAAAAGCCAGAACTTTTTGGTTGCTGTTCTGCATTTTGCGATGGAGAACGAACGAACCACTGCCGACAACTGATGCCGTTCTGTTGCCCACGAAAACCTCGGCCGGCCAACTTTCCATTCAAGCTCTTCAACTCGTATGGATTCAGTTACTGCCACTTTCATCACAACAACGCGTCCTTCTCCTCTCTCGCCCATTGTTATGAGGACTCTCGATTCGCAATCATGTCATGTCGTGGTTCTTGCCTCACCCGTCTTCTCCCAGCCAGCCTTAAAATACACGCTCCTCCGCCGTCTGACTGAATTGTATGGAGAAAAGTCTTGTCCAGATGTGCTTTCGGGCTAATGTGCATAACGGTGTCTATACTACGTGTGTGTATCTAGGTGACATTTTAAACCTATGTCTCTTACGATTAGATGATGTAACTACACATGTAGCATGCAATTATACGCGGAGAAACTTAAAAATCAGGATGAAAACAAAATTTCCTAAAGATTCAGGTCGCTGAAATTATTTAAAATAAATGATTTTTTGTTGGAGAAATGTCCTTTGGAGTGCTTTCACTTTCTCATTGCGAGGCGTTTCATTTTTATTTAGGTTGTTTGCTACACTGTAAAGTGACACGTTTCCCTTTCCACGAGATGCAGCAGCAACCTATGTACTCCCACTTCATTTCGAACATCTCAAGTTTCCACTCCACTCGCTTAATCTCTAGTGTCAACTGACAAAAGATGATCCTTTTGCATCTACTACTCCTTCCAGTCAAGTGTTTACATATACAGTCGGCGCACATAGTGTGGCTCCTCGGCTTGTTATTCTTATTATTACGACATTGTCAGTTTCAGCTGCAAATAAATATGTCCTTTGTCGAAAATTATAACAAGACACTTCTACGCCGTGCTGTAAACCATAAGATTTATTCCACTGTACATTTTCCCTGATTCGAATTTCAAAATGAATATTTTATTAGTGAATGATGCAGATTTGAATCAGTAATGGCGAAGTGCACAATGACACGTATTTCCAACCTATTTTTACACCTACTTCTCCGTCGTAATGATTTCTTTGATCGGAAATGCTTCTTCCATCTAAAAAGTTTTCAATGCCGAACATTTTATGGTTCATGAGCAAGTCAACTTTATCTCAATACGAATTTAGGTTTCACTGTAAGTTTTGGCTCTGTGGAGATATTTCCGTTTGCAGAATTCCGTCGTCGAAAAGACAGAATTTCTGTATTTGTACTCAAACGAGATTAGTTAAATTAGCTATTAATCTGATTTGGAAATGAAATCCGTGTTAGTTCCTCAAATAGACCCGCCAAACTCCAGCCAGGCACAATTAAATATCCTGTCTTTAATGAAGCGAATTTGTGATGGAAAGCATGTCACTCTATGCAAACTCTGGAGCCAATTTCTCACCGTGCTGCTGCTGCAAACTTTCTTCCGACTCGGTGGTTTCCCATGAAAGCGGTCACATAAGAACGGGATGTGATTCACTTGTGTGTGAGTAAGAAACTCATTTCCCAAAGCCGAGACTTGCTTAAATTTCGAATTTGTGCCCTTAGGTTGGTTGGGAGCTGTATGGATGATATGACATGACATGCATCACATTATATTTTGTTGGTTGGTTGCTTGATGTGATGTTGTGATGTGATACGCCATGAATGATGAGGTTGACTCTGGCTCTGAGCTGAAAGAGATTGACTCTCCGCCGTCTCTGCCTCGCTCTCTTTGTGCCCACAACCAACTGCACTTTCACCACCACGGCCAGATCAAGCCCCACCATACGCAGTACAACTTTGGCTATTTATATCAACTCATGAATCAAACAGTTTGTGCCAAAAGTTTGAAAAAGTGTCATGAAGTGAAAGACGAGCTTCTGGTGGGAATAGATTCTGAGAATGAGGAGAGCCTGCCTTGCATTTGATTTGGTGCGCTCAGATGCATGTGACACTTTCTTTGAAACCACTGACAATGTCCACGTCATGTGCTGCCAACGCGGTAAATCAAGTAAATAGTTACAATCCTATTACTCAGAATGTGTACAATATTAGATAGTTCAAATTTTAGGGAAAAATTACATTTTCAAACTTGAATTTTCACGCATTTAAACTGCAGCAGCATCTCGTACGTGTGTTGCAAGATGGGATCAAGTTTCCCAAAAATCTATTGATATAAAACGCTTGGAGCAAGTTGGTGGACTGGCAACTTCCGAATTGCAAAGTGTCTGTTTTCTTAGAGTTGAACTAATCCTTGTCTCTCAACCCGGTCGTCTGCCCAGCTGCCCTTCTGTTATGTCTGCAATCTTCTTCCCAGTTCAAACTTTCACTCGAGAGATATCACAGAAACAACTCAAAGAGTCGAAAAGTTTGGGAGAGAGCAGACATGGATCGCCCAACAAACAATAGTGCTCACTTTTGCATGAAGGAAAACAGTGTACTTACATAATTTTTGTTACGCGGCTTTGGTTTTGTCCTCACTTTTGTGGGTTCTTCTTTACCAGTGAAATGTTTCTTGTGTATTTGAAAGTTTTTTTGTTTCTTATGAAATGCCAAGTTTAGGAGTCGATGCAATAAAATTGCAATTCACGAGGGACGAATAAATCCAAATATGGGAAATAAGCCGTTCAATCAGAGCGGATATCGGGAACGAGGGATACTCACTTCATCCACGATATTGCTTCTTGCATCAAAAGCAAGCACGCGGATCCTAATTTGGTTAGAGCACCTCCAGTTCGTAACAAGTGTGAAAGCAATCTGATTTTATTTTTGTCACCGCAAACTTTATCGCCCAACTTTTTTGTGCACAGGTAATCAGCTAAATGCACGTCTCGTGTATTTCTGGTGTTACCACCCTTTCGACGAGCTCGGAGAAATAGGACGAGAAGGTGCAACCCAGAGAAAATTCAATTCTCCACGTCGTCATTTGCAATAACGATCCCAGTCTTATTTTCCCAGCTTCTTTCCTGCAATAACCATGCCACCAGCGGAGAAAAAACAGGTTAGGCAATCTCAGTGCCTTTTCATTACCAAATTCGAGACTCGAAAAGTTTGAAGTGTAAAAGAGTGATAAGATACATATGTGAAGATCCACCGTGTTCTTGTACTCTAAAAAATTTGTCGTGCCCATCGTTAGCTGCACGAATAAAATAGACACAATTTTAGGAGCAGTTGTTTTCAAGGAAATGATTGTGTGTGATTAGAAATCTCTATTCGAACGTTTTCGGACTAAACAAATCCCAGGCACCCAGACAAAAGGAATCTTTAATGAGATCCACGATATACACGACTACACGACCCATTCATCAACCACTGCTGTGCACTAGGTAGGTGCTCGGGAAGATGGGCATGAATTGAACGTGCCACAAAAGACAACCTGATTATCTCCGACGTAGGGAATTAGAGGAGAGCCGCACATAAAGTGAAGCACCCACCAGCCCCGCCACGGAAGACAAGCAGCAGTAAAGTGGAATAACGAATGTGTAACAAAGGTAAACACTTGGTTTCATGAGTATTAACGTGCAAATGTTATTCCCACCACAACCCTCATCCATCCACATGTGCCATTCAGTTATGCAGATAAGCAGACACAACAAGTGCCAATGCGGTGCACTGCAACGATCATCATCCTTCGACTTTCACCACCACCACCACGGTAATAAAATATCCGCCACGTAAACACGTACGTAGGCAGGGTTTGTGGTGCTCAGTATAGTAATTAAAAGAGAAGAGACATACGTACCTTTCCGATTTTTGGATTGCTTGGCTCTCTCTCTCCGAGTAAGCCTATTATTGGTTTGGTTTGGTTTGGTTGCTGGCGTCTCACTGCAATTTGTTCTTTTTCACAAAGGAGACACGATCACGATGGTCTTAGCACAATCTGTTTGTTTTTACACAATTTTACCAGAATCAGATTACGATCTGGAGTGCGAGGTGGAGAGAAAATTAATTAAAAATTTAATCAAGGGCTTTGATGACTTTTAAGGTTCGGGAAAATTGATGGACGAGCGCCGGAACTATCACACGTCCCATTGATTAAACGATTGCTTCCCACTTTCTCCACCACCGGACTTCTCGCCCAAGAATAACTCTTGGTTTTAGTTACTTTGCGTTGTTTGAGTCGGAAGAAGGGCAGAGTTTGAGTTTCGTTTGGCTATATCGGAACGATTTACTTTCTATTAAAATTCTCACTCACATGCTCGCCTTCTTTGCTCACGTTGAGGGAGAGGGAAGGAGATTAGGGAGCAGGATGAAACTTCAAGTCACACACGACGCCACTGCCAAGGAGTTAAAAGTTGGTGGCGAATTGCGAAGAGAGAAGTGCAAAGTGGAGGTGATTAAAAAGAAGAGGTCGTAGATTAAGCTGAGCAAGTTGCTGGTTGGAGAGAAAGTGCAAAGTCTGGCTGAACTTGCGAACAATGGGTTTGCTACTGTTGCTGCATTTTAATTTTTGAGCTGCTGCTGCTTCGGCTGCTGCTCTTGTCTTAACTTCGACGTTCTCCTCCTCCTCCTTCAAAGTAGTTACAAGTTTAGTCGTTATTTTAATGAAGAGACGGACAGGAGCTTGTTGTTTATTTGCTCACTTACTCCACACCGAGGTCTTTACACGGCTAATAATTCCAAAAATTTATGATTCACATTACTCAACGTCAAAAACAATTTTAGCGATGGCGATTCCACTTTCTTTTCAAGAGTTGACGGGTCCTCGGTGTAAGTATTTCTTCACCAGCGTTGCACTGCCGCGTGGAGAAGGAAAGTCGTCGTGGAAGAGCAAATGTTGTTGACATTGACTGGATTAAAGTGAGATTAGAGTTTGGATTCGATTATTAAATGAAGTGTTATAAATCTTTTATTTGATTCAACGCGTGAAATGTGAGACGCACGGGAGAAACCAGCCCACTCGCTCCGTGTTCGAACTGAGACTGGGAGGCGAACGCTCTCAAAGTCTCCTCGCTCGAGAAGACCAGTGTGTGAGTGTGGATTTGCTTTACTTTTGCTTTCCTGGTTCTGAGAGCAGGGTTTGAGTGAGTGCAAAGGCAGAGGGGCAAACAGTCTCACGATGTACGTACGTATCTAGTAAGTACGAAAGTAGGGTCTCAAGCAAACCATGGAGTTGCTTTTTCGCTACATTTTCCCCTCTGCTTTCTTTCACCGTGCACTTTCTTCACCAACAACCACATCACTACGGAATGAGCAATGTCCATTAACACTGAAATAATTTGCATCTTCTGGATCACTTTTTCAGTTCAGTAAGGTGACCATTTTTTAGGAGCAAAGATGACCGAAATCTGTAAAGCATCCTCTCATCCGCAATGTTCACATGTTTGTGTGTCTGGTTGAGCCGCAGCGAGTCTGGATCTCCCAGGCCGATATGATACTCAAAATCATCTCCTGGTAGCTCTGCTCGTGAAGAAAGCTACTTTTCAGGAGGATGCTAATAAAACGCATGCCCCGATATGCACAAGTCACATTACACTTTCATACTGATTTAATCCACTAAGCTTTTATTTTGCTACTTATTGAAACGGCTTAGCCCAGTTAAACAACTTATTTATTCCTGTTTGCATACTGCAAATTTGTCGTGTCTCCAGTAATTTTTCAGTAAATAATAATCCACGACTTTCCTGCTGTAAATGTGGCTGCCGAGTCAGAGTGACATTGAACAAATGTATATTACGGCAATCAAAAGAGAAAGCAGGTAATTTTGAAAATGGGGAAAAATTGAAAGAAAGATTGAGCAGAGACAAATATTTTTTTCCTGTTTCATCACTCATCCCATTTATTTTATCTCATCGCGTGTCAAATCATCCAAAATGATGCCTACTCCTACTTTCTCCTCACTAATAATAGTTTCCCCTAATTCTCTGACAAACAATCGTGTCAGATGCTGAAAATTTTTACGAAAGCAATGTTAATACCGTGTTTTGTGGCGTTCTAACGCCTCCATTATAAATATGTATATCATATTTCGACGACGGCGTTCATTTGCAATTTAAAATTGGTTCGTTTGAAAATGTAGAAATTTTAGAGTGAGAGCGACGCAGTTTCATTATCAGGACGGAATTCTTGGTAGTGCGGCTGAATAAACGTGCCAAAGCATGTTTGCAGAGGAAGTGAGTCTACTGGGTGAAAGTGAAACTGTGTCTCCTTGGCTTTCAGACGACCCGGACCCACATTTAAGAATGCAAATTGTGTCCAACTTGGTGGCTCGTTGGTTGGAGTGCCCGTCCAGAACGTAAGCCCGTAATAAATTATACTCACAAAGTTATTGTTATTAGGACTGACTGTGCCTCATTTCAAGTGGGCGTCCTTGCTCTTTTAGGCTTTTAGAGGGTATTTAGTGAGGTGTTTTCTCAGAGAACTGCTTACTTATTTTATGAATTTATGAAATGAAAATGAAAATACGATATGTCACGGCGAGGACAATGAGTAATCGAGGAGAGAAGCACCACGGCCGCGCTGGAAGGTCGAGCGTATGCAGCATGGACGCGTGGTGGTAAGGACGAAGAAGGAGCTTTTTCCCTATATTTTCTCCTATATTTTCTCTTTTTCTTCATCTGCTGGTGGGTGGATGCTAATTCGGATTTCTTATTTCGTCCAAGTCCAAGGAAATCCGAGGAGGAGTGGTGGCTTGGCTGGGGAGAGGAGTGTGTGATTAGTTATTATACCCATGACATTAAGAGACCGTAATAAAGTGTAATATATGGGATGGAAACACGCGTTGTCTTCTTCTTGCACTTCGACTCCTCTCCTCACGCCCTGCCTGGGCGCTTGTTAATCTTAATCTTAATTCAGTAGTGTATTAGTAGTCGGTTGGAAAGAATAATATGGATAACGCGGCCTCTCATTCCTCCACTTTTCCTTTTCCGTGGGCAAACAAACGCCAGGCAGGCAGCACTCGAGCTGATGATGATTTTCTCCCCGTGGAGGAAAAGGAGAAAGCAAAAGTCCAAGAGTTATTATTTTGATAAATTCTCTCCTCCCAACTTTGCTCCACTTTTGTGCCGTCGCAAACCTCGCTAAATTGTTTTCTGGGAAGGGATAGATTTGCGTAATTCCCTAATTTGTGTTATTGCGTCTCAACCTCAACCCACGGAGCTATTTGCCAGAATTTTGAAGGTGTGAGATGTCCTGGGATGAGATTGGACATTGAGCTGTAGAATTTATTAGTTCGACTGCCTACAGCCCGAGTTGTCACAAATAATTAGCCGCGGTAATTGATGAGCAAACCAACGAGTTTATCGTCGCACCTAATGCAACAACAGTCAGCAGTCTCTCAAACCGCACAAGGTGGCTTTCAGCCTGCCACAAACGCTGGAATAATTACCCACTAACTCAATAAGTTAATTCCATTAAGTTATGTAAGACGGACAAAGATAAATAATGATTTAGTGCTCCGTATGCAAGGGGACTTTCCCCAGCGTAATCTCCCCCGCTATCTTTCCCCACAAGTAATTCAATTTAATTGAGGCGGAAATAGTTCTCAGATATTTTTGCCCCTTTATTTTTAAAATCAATAAAGGACATTCCTCATTTTATTGCTCGGTCGGTGGTGGAGAGTTTTTCGACGAAATGAAGGATGCTGCTGCGGCTGGATCTGCATTATTGGTATTGGCTCAGCGTTCTCTTATTTTTTGTCCCACACATGCATGCAGAGAGCGAGAGAGATCTCCCTCCCTGCAATAATAATGCTCCCCTTGGTTGAGAATGTGCTTTGAGGAGCAACGGCGGTGGGTGTGGAGTTTAGCCCAAATTCAAGTGAGTAAATATTGAGACTCATCAATCAAAATCAGAACCCATTCCTCACAACATGGGCCACTAACCCATCATCAACAAAACCACCATGTCTTGCATCTCATTGTGTAACAAGACGACCTTTTACATCAGCCGGGGCCCAGTATTTGGATAAAATAACTCAGATTTACTTGGAGGGAATTAATTTTTAAAGCTGAAACTGTCGTCACTACAAATGCGTGTGTGTACTCGTGTCGACGCACTTACATATGAAAAAAACTGTTTTTGGGAAATGAATCAACTCCATCTCGAGCAGGGGAAAAGAAGCAGGAATCTCGAATCTTGAGGAAAATCACAAAAAAGGAGACTGATTTTTGGACGAGAGAGAGAAAGCAAGTCCACTTTGGGCTGGACTCGTGTGTAGCTTTCTTCTTCTCCAGTGCTCTCCTCCACTCATCTACTTTTTACTCCATTTGATGGTTCTGGCGGTGGTGGCTGTTTTGCGAGTTGCAGGGCGCGCTGAGTTGAGGGAAAGCATTGTGTTTGGAGAAAGGGTCTTCTTGACTCTGAGAGAAATTTGGCTCTTGCTCTGAGTAATGTAAGTAATGTAATGTGAATGTGGAGGAGCCTGGATTGTAGATCAGAGAAGGCATCATCTATCCTCCTTGAGTGAGCAGTAACTCTGGTCTCCTTTATCCCGTCCCTACCACCACGAGCCGCGGTATAGGTACGTACTACTCGGGAGAACTATGTATGAACTACTGGCCTCGTGGTATAAGGGATATTTGCCGAGTTGTTGGATGGAGAGGAGATAACCAGCCAACAGCCACATTTCAAAGAGGAGCTCTCTTCTTCTTTGCTGACAATGCTCCCAACAATCCAACAAAACTCTGGAAGCTTAGAGATATAAGTTAGCTTAGTGTTCTGTTATGTTGTCAGATATCCCCTCTCCATCTATCTTTTAAGTATCTCCACAAATAACTCTTTTTGCCCCACTGACTCCCTTCACCCACAGCGACACACACCCTACAGCACCGCAACTATCACACTTTCGCCCCTTCTTGTGGGTGTGCTCCAGTTCGAGGTAAACAAGTGACACGTAGAGCATTGTGGGAGGCAAATTGCTAAATTCCATTCAATTGGCTATGCACACACTTCGGGTGGTCATTATTGCATAACATTCATGCAAATTTGCATGCACGTGGCGCATGTCATACGATGCAATTGACTTAAATTTTTATTTTTCTCCTATGCGTCAACCTAATGCACACGTACACGTACACATTTACATGCACATTGTGGGAGTGGAAGAGGGGGGATGAACGACCGAGTGTAACGCTACCCGAAACATTATTCATGCTCTGCTGCTGATAAGTATCACCTAATAAAGTGGAGTTAATGGGAGTGCAATCGGAACTACAAATTGAATATGGATTCTGGTTCTCACATGGCACTGATTGCAGCAGCAGCAGCGCAGCGATAGCTATTATTTTCTTACGCAATGCTAATAAAGTATCAGGAGGCGGTGGAAAATCTGCAATGCCGACTTCACATTAAGCCAGGAAAACAAACGTGTGTGGGGAATGTAAAGAGTGTTCATTTGGTTGGGAGATAAGAAAAATTGCACTCGTTTTATCTGCCCCATTCATAAGGGCGTGGGTGCAATCTTGACGCCCACTTTCGCCAAGGAAATTGATTCAAATGGGAAATCCACCAGGCGTTTTCTTGAGAGATTCCTTTCAACCTGAAGGATAAATTATTTCAGAGAAGTGAGACCAGTCCCAGTCGGAGTAACACATGCATGCCCGCTGGGGATCGGCCAAGGTTGATAATCAGACGCGATATTTAAGTAGCAAAGACAGTCGACAATTTATAGAAAAGGGGTTTGAATGCAGAAATGATATTTCTTCAGCATGCAACTTAGAACGGTATGAAATGAAGAGACGCCATTACATATACCATTTGGCTGTGTGCATATGTTTGTACGAGTGAAAATTTACCATCGGTGCACACCCGACGATATTTCCTCCGTCTCGTCGGCTAGTTATCGCCCGCTAAGTAGTAACTGATCAAGCATCGGAACAGTGATAAAATATGGGGAGACCAGTCAAGATTGAAGTGTGCACGGGTGCGAAGGTTTGTTCCTTCAACGAGACACGTGGTTAATCCAACACAGGTTCCGTTCTCCATGCGAA